TTTTTGCCCGAAGTGATCCCGGTCTCTACCCAGCCTGAGGCGAGTCACAAGTGAGGCAGGACAGGAAGCCGGAGTCACGAGTCACAGGAAGTCGGAAGTCAGAAGTGATGTCATGCTGGACAAGAATCAGAGTCCGAATAACATTTTTTCATATTCGGACTCGAGTCCGAATAGTCACTTCAAGGTGCAAAACATTGAAGGAGCTTGGAAACTGTCAGTGCAAACCACTCGCTACACAGAATCGTCACTATGTTTAGAATCGCGATCAGATGACACGGTGGGCATCCCCTTTGCAAAGCCAAACAAGATGGCTGTTGCTATAAATTTTGGCCAATGGCGTTTTGTTGTTGTTCTCTGGCTATCCGCTTGTGGTCCAAATCAGAATTTCTAAAGTTGTGTGTATGATCATTCATTTTGATTATTGGTGGCATTTAATCATTTATGTTGAAGTCCAGTCTTTGCTTATCTTTTGTCATATAATTGTAGCCTGATTAAAATGTTAACTCATGATGCTTAAAAGGAAAGGTTTCATTTCCCTTTCTTATAGTCTTTCACTTTCAACTTACCAACTACAATAGTATCATCCTCTTATCCTTTAAAAAAAAATGTTTATACCTCTGTTCACTCCCACCTATGCTACTGCAGAAAAGAATCTACCCTGACTCTGAGTCTAGATATTAATAACTCATATTTTTATCTCGTAACTTTCCCATGCATCAGTCTGTTCCCTTAAATACAGTTTTTCATACTCGTACATACAGGGGGTTCTTGTGGTCTAGAGGTTTAAAGGCGTTCACCTCTCATTCATTTGGTCCCGCTTTCGAATCCGGATAGTGATGGAAAAAAATTTTTCTCTAAAATTGTTTCACTTCACATTCTTTCCTGCTCTCTAACACTGTTCTGTCATCTGCTTTCATCCCCACTTTCTGCCCCCACCCCCTGAGGTCCTTTTCCTCCTCCTCTAGGCTCCTTCTTACTGCTGTCTTTCAGCCATACTCCTGATCTTATGGTAGGTAAGATCTACAAGGAGCCTTCTTGGATAGGGGTGAAAAATCTTGGTACTCCCGTCTGCAAGTAGTGCACGTTAAAGATCTCTTGGCTGTCCAAAATCAATAAGGGCTGCCACCCGCGCAAAATTTAAAATTTCCTTCCGACTGAAAATGTTTAATGTGTCCGACGCGCTCATATTATGACCTTATGCAGGTTCGAGCGTCGTAAAGCACTTAACATAACAAAACGAAACAAAAAAGCAACCCAAAAATACTTTTATACACATAGACAGTTGATCATCTAGAGATTCAATAAATGATTCAGTTGTGGTTTTTGTTTAAATTTCTTGCTTCTTGTTTCTTTTTCAGGGTGAAACTATAATGGAGCGATGCACACTTCTCTTTGGCAAGGATTACAAGTTTACGGTAACAATAAAAAAAATTCAATTCTCTCTCTCTCTCTCTCTCTCTCTCTCTCTCTCTCTCTCTCTCTCTCTCTCTCTCTCTCTCTCTCTCTCTCTCTCTCTCTTCTCTCTCGTTTCATCCTTTACTCAAAGTTGCAGTTAGAGTTATGATTTTTAAAATTCTTATGTGCCCCATTCTTGTCAAGAACTGATCCACAATTGTTGTGTGCGTAATTTTTTCTTGATGGGTTTTCTGGCTGTGTACACAAGCCAAACTTCTTATTGGTAGGTGGTCTGGTGTGGTATGTTCCTTATATTTGCCTGTCGAACATATCTTTCATGAGATGAACCCTAATCACTTCTCCTTCTTTTCTTTCTCTATGTCATTCTCTAATAACACCTCTAATCTTTGATGTTTATATCTCTTATTTGTGTTGCAAAGGGCATAAAACTTTTACAAAAAACAATTCTTGTTGAATTGTCTGCAGTCACCTTCTACAAAAGTGGTAATATGGTAAGACTCTTTGTCTTTGCCCGCAGAAGAGATGACGTAACTTCAATTCATTGATGGGGAATCTGTTTTTTATAGAAAATTTTCTACTAACTGTTGGGACATTTTTACCTACCCACATCAGGTAAACCCTGGCTAGCAAGGCTGGTCTGAGCAGCCAACGTCCTAAATCTACATTCTGTTGTTGGAGTTACAGGCGTGTAGCAATTCTAAATATTAGTATGTGACTTCAGTTGTTTCTGTTAAAAATGATACTGACATACAAAGTGGATCAAGTGAAATAATAGATCCAGACGGACAAAGATGAAATTGAATATATGCCATTTTTTCCTGGTGGTCTTGATTTACAATTATTTTCAAATCACTTTCTGCTTTTATGCAGTAAGATCTCCCTGTTCACCACTATGCAATCTTTTTCCTCGTCAAAATAAAGTATAGCCCCCCCCCCTTGCCCTGCTTGAGGATAAATGTATTTAAGAAAAGACTGTGAACTTTATATTCAGACTTAAATGTGAATTTTTAGCTTCAAGTGTGAATGTGGATTCTGAAAAAAAGCTTGATTATACTTGGTCATCTGTTTAAGCACACCTGTTTTGATGCTGTGCTTTTATATGGGGGGGGGGGGGGGGGGGACTTTTTGTTCAGTAGCAGAATTAGTGCTGAACAGGGGTCCCACTTGTTTGCATGAGTGGCATTTAAGAAGACAGATGTTTGGCATCATTGACTGTTTTCTAACTTTGCTTCATTCTGTAAGATCAGTATTTCATCAAGATATAAGGGGGATAAATATTGGGTATCCTGTGCCTACATTTTAATTTCTTTTGTTGCTGCCTTCCCCAACTAAAAGTGACTTTTCTCTCTTTTCAGATTGTGCCAAATTTTAACGGAGAATTATGTGGTCATTACCCAATGAAATTGATCATCACAGAGTTTGAGAGAGATGCAGTCTCAAGCACAGAGCAGTATGTCTCATATATGCAAAAAAGAATTTCTCTAGTTTTTAAGACCTCCTTCCATTTCTTATTGATTTCTTGTGATATTGTAGCTTGTGGTGTAGTGTAGCGTTTCCAGGGGAGGGGAATGTCTCTGTGTACATACAGATGCCGACCAGTACTGAATTTGCAAGTCTGTTTTTGCGTCAGAAAATAGTATATTCTCCATTTTCTATTTTCTAGTATTGTTCTTCATGGACTAGCAGATGCTGAGCTGGAGAAAAAATTTTGGAACTTTCAAGATTGGGTTTTGCGAATAATAATGAGAACGAAGCTAGTAAAAGCCACTTTGAGAGACCGTTACCAAAGATAGTACAAGACAAGATGGGCCACTTCTCTCTTTGAGCCAATTAAAAAAGTGTCCTCAAAATTTGGTGGCGCCCTCTTCACAAAAGCGCACTCTTTGCGAACAGAGTTACCCTACTTGAGTTTTAAAAAATCAAAGTGAAACTAGCAAGTTTTGGGATAAATTTCGGAAGAACGCTTTTTAAAAATGGTTACGTTGACAAAAAACCTCTTCCGGAGGAAAAGGAGATGGTTTTCTTCGTTTAATTTGACTTTAGAATGAAGGGCGAGAGGTCATTAAAATTTAAAAAACCTAAAACTCCGCACTGAATATACCCGAACTGCTGATGAACAGCAGTCGATCTGCGCACGCAAGGAGGTGCTATTCCTATTCTTCTTCTGGAAAAACGAAAGAGAGCTTCAAAACAGATTGCAGCGCCATCTGAAGCAAAGAGCATACTTCCTGCGGACACTTTTTTGGCTGAGTGGCCCATCTTGTCTTGTACTATCTTTGCCGTTACCAAACATTTTGGACATGTTTGTTGCACGTCTGCTTAGAATAGCTTGAGTTTATTGAATGCTGAAAAGTGTGTGTGAAGAGTTGGGAGGTGTATTTTGTTTTGTTTTATTTGGTTTTGAAAAGCTGGCCGGCAGCCAAGTGTGTGTATGTGTAGTGTATTTGTGGTTGTTGTGATGTAATGTGCTCAGTAATGAATGGCTGATGTGTAACTGTGTGTTTCTGTCGGTGGACGGGAAATTGTGTTAGACGGGATGTAGAGAACAGAAAACGTTTCTCTAAAAAATTCACTCTTACTCGTTCTTTTTGTTCCTTTAGAATGCTTTTTGGTATTGTTTTATTAATTTTGTTAACATTTTGCATTCAGTTTATGAATTCATGAAATTGTATAACACTGGGATTTTTGTCATGCTGTAAGTTGAGAGGCTTCAAGTTTCCTCTTTCCTTGTATAGCTTAGCGTAGTATTGTTATTTTAAATGAGGAGAGAGGAAGAAAAGGGTTGTTCTTTCACAACAGTGTTCCTGTAAAAGTTTGTGTCATTTTTCTCTTTTGGTTCATTTCAGTGTGGAAAGTAGGCATAATCAACAGCTGTTGACTCAGAGAATAAAGAATGCCCGCTGCGCTCGCTGCAGGTCCAGATTTGTCATTCCAGTTATTTTCTACCAAGGAAAGGTTAGTGTGTCATCCATCGTAGATGTTCTTGGGGGGGGGGGGGGGGATATTTTTTTGTTTTTTATTTCATTGGCTTTTTTGTATCTTCTTCTTTTTTTTGGGGGGGGGGTGGTTTTAATTATTAACAAATCAATAACAGTGAACAATGTGTGTGGGCATGTTAATTAAAGTGAAGCACGTCGACTTGTTAACTTCTGTCTAATGCCTGTAAGAAGCAAGATATCGACAGCCAGAAGCAACAAAGGGTAAGAAAGGAAGTAGGCTCTAGCAGTAAGGCGTTCCAAACCCCCCCCCCACAGCAAATCTAGGGGATGGGTTTAGTTCATATTAGATAGGTTTTTTTTCTTTTTTTCTAACCCATGATTTTGGGATGCGTCACTTTTTGCCGGATTTTGTGCCTTATATTCAGCTGGACTCAACACCTTTCTGTGCTTTCATGAGTGGTCGGCGGGTGCTCTGGTGTGGTTTGCTCCTTCTTTCCTAAAAAACATCTATTGTCGTTATCTCTCCTTCTCCTTTTTTGTGTATGTTACTCTCTTGTAACACATCTATTCTTCGACACCTTGACCTTATTTTGTTGCAAGTGTCGTAAAACTCTTACTAAAACTAACCTCTGTGCTTTCCCACCGCTGAGTCATTTGGGCTAGCTTGCATGGAAACAAGTTTAGAAGGGATCGGTGTTGTGTTTGCATATTTTGAAACAATGTATCTTTCTCCTATCTCGCTCAGGAAAATGCTAAACATATGCACTGAAGGCTTAAAGTTTTCCTACTAGCTCTGCTTTGAAGCAGCCATTTTGAGTTTCTTAGTTTGCATTAAGCTGTTTGCTGAGTGCTCAACCTATCTTACTTTTAATTTTATACATTTTAATAAAATATTCATTACTGAAAATCAGCCTGATAGACCTTCTCAAGGTGCAAAAACTGACTGTCAGTAGAAAGTCTTTCTTTAGCAAAATCAAGTTATTAAAGAAGAAAGATAAATATCCAGAATTTTGACTGAATCTGGTATGTTTGACACGTGAGAGAGAGAGAGAAATTTAGGGATAGAGAGAGAGAGAGTGAAAGAAAGAATAAAAAGGTATGGGGTGTGTAAGGATATTGCTTTTATCTCAAACTTTATGTATTATGTGTGTGTGTGTGTGAGATTGTGGTTCGAAATTTCCTCCTATTTTTGCCTTTCTTTGTCATCATCACTGATAAGAAGAGTAAAATTTTATCTTGTTATAATTTGCTCTTTCACCAGCACATTTGTAGATCAGCAACATTGTCAGGAGCAGCTGAAATGTTTGGACGGTCAACTACAGATTATTTACTATCAAGTAAGATGCTTGGTTTAAGATGCTTGGTTTAAGATGCACACTATACTAAAAAGATTTAAAAATTAATAGTTTCCTCTCTTTCTTCTTGCGCCCATCTCTTTCCTCCCCTCCTCCCTCTCTCTCTCCCTCTCTCTCCCTCTCTAACCCTCTCTCTCTCTCTCTCTCTCTCTCTCTCTCTCTCTCTCTTTCCGTCCCTCTTTCTCTTCTTGCTGTGGCTTGTTGATGGGTGGTTTTTGCTTGTTGCATTCTTTCCTTGCTGTCTTTTATACACAGTTACGGAAACTTAATTTTTAAACGGCAGTCCTTTTTCAGGTACCAATGAATGTACTGTTTGTGCAAATCCCCGTCCGTATGATGGTTTCAGATTTTGTGAACATACAATGTTATAATATACCCCTGTTTGTAGGGTGTTTTCAGGTTTCATTAATGTACAATTTATGTAAGTCCTTTTCATGCAGGTTGCTTTAAGTATCATGAGTATTTAACTTTGTGTTTTGTTTTTTGTTTTTCAGGTCAAAGTGGTTCTGACGCTGGGTAAGACAAAATAGGTGTAAAAATAGATTTTCTAGCAGTTGAAGCCATGAGGGACAGTATGACGATGTCCGTCTTAAACTCCTACACACACAGTTGTTTTGTTAGAACTGTTTCAAGTTTTTTGTCAGGAATATCTGCCAGAATAAAAGTGGGCATTTTATAAAGCAATGTTCTAAAATCTCCAAAGTTGAATTCTCCTGGGTGGATGTACAAAGGGTTTGCACTTAGGCAATAATGTGTAATGTTTTTATTCAAGAAAAGCTCTTGTCATGAACGCACGTCTTGTCTCCATATATGCATATTTGTATAGTATGTGTGTGTGTGTGTGTAATAAGTACGGTTTTTTTAAAATAACTCGCAAACCTGGATTTCTGAACTTGTCCAGATTTTGCCCGATTTCTAGATCACAAAGTACAATGTGATCTGTAAACTTTATGTCCCCATGCTTGAAATTCCATGGAGTCGGAACAGTTCCAGATTTATTTTTTTTACGTAGCAAATCAACACCTCTAATACAGTAAAAAATATGTCCTTGTTTCTGCAGGCGATTAGATATGTTTGACAAGTTCCGTGGCCATGACATTCAGCTGTTGAAGTATTTTGATGTGGGTTACATCTGCGACCTCATGGTGGAGAAGAAGAAGACCAAGTTCGGCATGCCGTAAGTTGAGAGGCTTCAAGTTCCTCTTTCCTTGTATAGCTCAGCGTAGTATTGGTTTTTAAGCTACTTTCATACACATTGAAGTTTTTTAACAGTTTGCCATCACAAGGCTCGTATAGTAAAAGCCCTTGCCATCAAAGGCAAAGGCATTTTGGGGAAAATCCAAAGAAACTGGGTGGTAAACATCGCCGATCGGCGAGATGTGACAGCAAAATGTTAAGAGATGAGGCCTCAGATTTAGCATTAGCCTCTGATGAGACAGAGCCATGTACTCAAATGAAAAAAGGTTCAGAAAGTCGTTTTGAGGATTTGAACAAAGGGCTGCTCACTTCATTGTTGACTTTGGTACCTACTGAGATGGTGGCAAGTCCTCTTTCCGAGGCGTGACTTGTCTTATGTGGAAAGCATGCCATGAGGCTGGATATTTCATTTTGTCCATTTGTGACCTATATATTCCCTACTGTTACCATATTATGTGTTAGAAATGAGGATGAGTGTGAGTGAATGAGATAAAGAGGGAGAGATTGTGATGTGTTGAGAATGTGTATTTTGTGCCACAGGAATTGACGAAATCATAATAATTCTTCCTCTTGAGGATGAATAAAGTATACCTTTGTTTTATTTTTGTCAAAATTGTGAAGAAGATTATCATTATGGGTGGAGTACACACGGCTCTTATTTACAGCATAGACTTGTGAATTAATTATTTTACAGTTTTGGGAAATCTTTCGCAGTTATACCTCAAGATGTAAAATCTTCCATTGTTGAAGTGTGTGCTTTTTTGCATAGATAGATGTGAGCAAAACTGTGGAGTCAGCTTATACCGAGCACATTTAATCCGTTTTTTCTATGCTGTTTGAGCAATCTCTCTAAATCGAAAACATGAGTAAACCGAAGATATTCCAGCAGTCCCCCAGATTTAAATTTTAGCAAACTCTACTGTATATCTCAGTAAGGAAAGGATGCTGCCATGGGATTTTCATTTTTGTTGTTTTAGAACTATCACTGTTTGTGTTTGCTGTCACTAAGCATGTATGTGCACCTTTACATTCACTATGTGTGTACAGTCGAATCTGCTTTAACAGCCACCTGTACCCCCCGGGGCGGTGCCACTGACTGAAGTGTCTCTAGGCCATTCCCAAAGGGGGGACATTTCTCGTTCTAATTCACAGTAGAATTGTAAATGGGCTGATCCAACAATGTCATGCTCATAACTGCCTGAACTACAACAGGGAACTACTGCTTTTTTTTCCCTAATCCTTGCTATCGTCATTTTCCTCTACTTCTTTTGTATGTTTGTCACACTCTTGTGACCCTGTATTTCCTGGGTGCCTTGATAGTTGAAGCAGACTCTGTGCTGTTGAAGCTAGAGAGGGGAACAGAGTAAGTCTGAATCCCTGTAAGGACTTCTCTGTTGACATCCACCCCTTGGCACTCATATGATCGTATGCAGTTGCGAGTGCCGTAAAATCTCTACTAAAATAAACAGCCACCTGTCGATGACAATCACCTGTACACTGCCCCTTTGTATTTTTTTTAAGATAATAATGACACAGTGTAAGTTGTCCACCCGTCTAAGACAACCATTTTTTCTCCAACTATGGGTGGTTGGAGTCTTGAACAATTTTGACTGTATGTCCATGTTTACTTTCACATGTCAAAGGCAATAATTTGTAATGTGTTTGAATTGCTTCCACATTTCAGAATTACTTCATCGGAGAAAGTGGATAAGGAGAATCGGTACTCTGACTTTTCCATACTTTGTATGCCATACCCAGGTGAGTTCATTGAATGTTGGCTCACAGCTGCTTCAACGAGTAGGGCTGGATTGGGAAAGTGACGTAAAAGGAGATGGGTTTGGTCCAAGCGCTGCTCAGTGGAAATAATAGTGACATGTGGGTAGCTTATTTGTAACTCAAAAGATTTTTAGTTAATTGCTTGTCGTTTTGGGAAAAAAATTATGCAGTATTACCACACCAAGGATACCATGGCTGTTGGAAAAAAGACTTATATCCCCATTTGACCCTTCATTACAGGGCATGTTATACAACACTGGAGTTTCTCATTTTCTTGCGACTGTGGATGTGTATCTTGTGTTAACATATGCTGTTTGCTGTCCTTTAAGCTTTTCATAGACCTGCCAAGCACTCCAATATAATCACAGCTTTCTCATTTTTTTGTTGAAGAACCCTGATTTGATTTGCATAAAATCTCTTTTTTTTTCTTGATTCCATGCCCTTCAGGTCGTATAGGTGAATATGGTAAATGACGGGGCGGGGGACATGTTTTTATTTGTATGTGGCCGATTACACTTTTATTTGCCATTATCGGTTTGTTAGGTAATCTTAATCTACTGAAGTTCTGGATACTAATTTTTTTCCCATGCTCTTATTTTTTTGTGAATGTTTTGAGGAAGACTTCTTTTTGTCATGGATTGTTTGGAAGGTCTGTCTTCTTATTGTCACATTTATTGAACTAGTTTTAACTATGATTTGGCCAGCAGTTACTGATGCTCAGAAGAAGAACAACTCCTCTCATGAGTGCTGTGAAGTAATGGTAAAGGTCAGTCCACTTGACCGCTCCATCTCTACCAGTCCTCCAGTCATCAATGTTTTCTGAAGTAGGAAAATAGCATAGGAAGTCTTCTAGAAGGTGTAAATATGCATTTTTGTCACATTTTTCTTCAATTTCATTTCCTACTTGTAGTTTCTATGAGACTGAAACTTTTTCTCTTTCAGGTTGTGAATTTTTCCGGGACTGGAAAAACAACTCCTACTTAGGAGAGGCAACAGTGTATGACTGGGGTCAGGTAATGTACATATCAGGATTTTACCTTCATCATGTCATAACTATTGGTTGTTTGCAGGTATTTATGTTTTCTGAGGTACTTTCAATATTTATACTGGCTAGAGTGGCTTCAGTCTTGGGTGGAAATTAATGTTTAATTTTTGCCTGGAAGGCAGCCTGGAGTTCCTATTTTTTTAAATTTTAAAACTGCCAAGGGATCTTTTATGTGTGGAACTTTCGAATGCAACCTCTGAAATTTTTCATCCTTATCCGAGAAGACTGGGTGCTCAATCTTACTTATCCTGTTATCAGAAAGCGTAGAAAACATGAGAAAAATAACCCGCCCCTGGCAGGGATAGGACTTGGTACCTCTGAGTTGACAGGTGAACATCATACCTATTGTGCTACTGAGCCCCCGTTCTTAATTGTGTTGTAGGTTTCTACCTCTACTCTGACCTTTGACACTCGCACAATGCTCACTATTTTTTTCACTCAGGCGCTGAATGACTCAAAGTTGGACCTTCCAAATTCAGCTCTTGTGGAAAACCTCAACATAGAATGGTTCAAGTACACTGTAAGTATTGTAGACTTTATTAAATATCCTGTAAGTTAGAGACTGGTTCAAACTCAAAAACACTGTGAATGTTATAGACCAGTTTTAATACCCTGTTAGCGGTATAGACAGATTAAAATTGTATGCTTGTCCTGTTAAAACGGACAATTTTTACCAGTTATTCTTTTCTTTACGGAAATTTCTTTTTCGGTTTTGGTTTGTGGGTGGTTGGGAGGTGCTCTGGTGGGGTTTGCTCCCTCTTTCCCATCAAATGTCTATTGCTTTTATCTTTTCTCCTTCTTTTCTTTGTAGGTTACTTTCTAGTAGCCCCTCTTATCTTCGGCACTTATAAGACTGCATTGTTTCAAGTGCTGTAAAACTCTTACCATAACTAAAACTAAAGCTTCTGATTTTTTTCTTCCTCAGGAGTGGAGTCTGACAGAGCTGACACAGAACTATCTCAAGCTCTTATTTCAGTACATCAAGAAAGGTAATCTTTTAGAGAGTTCAAACTACTGGAGTAAATCCCTGGTTATCTCATTGCACTTGTACTTGTAGGCATTTTTGCACCACCATCAACGCTCTCTAGATTATTTCGTAGGTGGCTCAGCTGTGACTGTGAGTGGTTGTAGGATATCACTGATTGGTCCTACTTCTTTTCTTTCCCTTTGTTGTTTCTGTGTCCATCTTGCTTTTTCCCTGCACTTACTGACTGTTACTGTGTCAATGTGCTTTTCTTTACTCAAAGAAATAAACTAGTTGAGCCGTTGTGCTGTCAGTACCATATTTTGCCCCGCATGCCAGCTGAACTGGCACATGGCATCTCTCAGTTCTATAGTCATAACTAAAATGTACAAACATCAGTCAATCCATGTTATTTATGATTAAATTTGTATAGTTCCACTGGACGTATCAGGTCAATTTGAATTAAAACACTTGTAGCTGTATTGGAAGTAGATTTTATTCCAATTCTAATACTCGCACATATCTCACTTCTCAAGTATGTCATTTTGTTTATTGATGGAGCGTTCTTTTTCTGCTGTGTTTGGTGTTTATATTATGCAAATAAGTTAAACAGGGGTTGTGTTTTAAAGAAAATTTGGGAACGATAGGTCAGCTGGAAATTGGATAACAAAGTTGAGCAAAAGTGAGTGTGTATTTACAAGAAAAAGCCTTCCATATACTAAAATTTAAGTATATTGATTGTGTCTGTTGCACTTGTTGCCTTGTTATCGCGGCGTTTGTAGTGTGGAACATCGTGTCATGTAGTATGTAGCTGTGCTGTGTACAGTATCTGTTTACATATGAATTTTGGTCAGTCGCTATCTATCGCTCGAACTTGTCATGAATTTTTTGGTTTTTAATAAGCCAAGCTTTCAAGTATAGTTCATTCATCTTTCTTCCCCCCCCCCCCCCCCCCCCCAGGACAATGATAGTGACTGAAGTTGTATTTAGGCCATTCCCAAAGGGAGGATATTGACATGTTCTTATGCACAGTAGAATTGTAAATGGGCTGATTTATCAATGTCATGCTCATACTGTGCTGGAACAACATAGGGGGAAATGCTGCTTTGTCTTTCCTCATCCTTACTATCGTCATTTTTCCTCTACTTCTTTTGTATGTTTGTCACTCTCTTGTGAACTGGTATTTCTGGGGTGCTTTGATAGTCGAAGCAGACTTTGTGCTGTTGATGCCAGAGAGGTGAGCAGAGAAAGCCTGATTCCCGTTTGGACTTCTCTCTTGACATCCACCGCTTAGCACTCATATGACCTTATGCACTTGCGAAGGCCGTAAAACCTTACTTCAACTAAACATTTGGCTTTCTTTACGACACTGATATCTTGTTGGTCTCTACAGGTGACTCGGGCCTCCTGGTTCACTGTATCTCTGGCTGGGACCGCACGCCGCTGTTCATCTCTCTGCTGCGTCTGTCAATGTGGGCCGACGGGGTGGTCCATCAGTCGCTCTCTCCCACGGAGATACTGTATCTGACACTGGGCTACGACTGGTATCTCTTTGGGTGAGTGTCCCTGCTGTCATGATTGTTGGGGGCGGGGGATGAGGTAGCGGAATTCAGAGGAGGGAGAAAGTGCATTGGGGGGGGGGGGGGGGGGGGTGTTCATTTGGGGAATCATAAAATTCCAGACAAAATGTATTGTCCTATGTGATATTGTGTTCTATGTAATGTTGATGCAATTTCTGAATTATTTATGTATGCTTGACAACAAGTGGATTCTGCCCACTATTATGGGGTTGTTGGTTGTGTTGGGGTTTTTTTGGGGGGAGGGTACTCACTCATTAGCCAGCTTTTTCCTTCCTGCTCAGATTATGTTAAAGGTGTACTGTAATTCTCTCATATTTTTTTGTCTGTTTGTTTTCCCTTTGTAGACATTTCTGTTGTGCTGTCTGGTGGTATCCTAGATGTTTTTCTCTCCAGCTTTTTTTTTCTTTTTTTTTTTTCTTTTTTTTTTTTTCTTTCTTTTTCTGATATCCTCCTAGCCTGCTTTTCCTCTCACTCAATTTTTCTCTCACTTCTGTGCTTTCTTGAACCGAGGTTGTGAGCCAATTTTCTTTTCCTCCCTTTTTTCTGTGTCTATGTACCATATGTATGCTCTGGTTTTTAAATGTGTAGGGCACCATAAGTAAAGGGAATGTGAGAAGAATTATGAGGAAGAATAATTTGAATGCTTATAATATAATCATTTACCCCTCAAGGCTCACATGACTTCATAACTCTCTCTGCCAGAGTGTTTGTTTCATATGGCAAATACTGTCTACTGGGAACAAACAGTGTTGTGGCCTATTAGGTGCCTATAACTATCATTCATATATTCTGTCTCTATCAATAGCCAAGTACTTTTTTTCAATAGGGTAGAATATTTGCAAGATGCTCTGTTTACTTGATATGGATTTGTTAAGTTTGCGAAGGTTTATTTGTTATGTTTTTGTTTGGGTTTTTTGGGGGGAGGGTGGGGATATAGCTTTTCATTTTGTTTTGTTGGTTTTGCTGCTATTTGAATTTTTCTTTGGGGAGTTTATTATATTCATTAAGTGATATTATTTTCTATTTTCTGTTTCTCACTTGAGCTGTTTCACGGCGGTTAAAAGATACTGACAACTGAAATTTGATGTTATTTTTTTTCCTCCCCAAAACTTGTTTCAGCCATGACCTTCCTGATCGGTTGAGCACGGACGAAGAGGTATGTTTAATATCTCAACATTTTTAACTGTGGGCAGTTGATGGGGTCCACCAATTTTACTTTTTCCCAATGTAGCTTTTGTGTTTTCCTGAACATGAGGAAGGGTATCTGTGTCTCTTGTGCAGTAATAAATTCTTCTGCATAGCACATACAAGATGTGGGTTCTATTCACAAGCAAGAACATTTTTTTGTCAAGAGGTATATCTCTGTCTATCTGTTGTTATGCCATGCTTTGTCCCACTCCACCTGGGCTGGCCCCAATTGGCAGAGGCAATGCAGCCTACTTCTGAGATGATCTAAATTGTGTCGACGGAAATGTAGAAGATTTGCGAATTAAAATTATTTTTTTTCATGGGAGAAACATGGCCTTCATAATGTCAGTTTGATATAAACTGGGACTGAGCATTGCAACAGATGGTCATCGAGATTTGGAATGTGTCTCTTTGTGAAGTACTCAAGCATAACATCACTTGAATAGTTGCTAATAGGTGGAGGGTGCCTCTGGTGTATTATTTTACTACTTTGCAATTCCTCTGTTTTTATCAATCTTTAAGCCGTACGTTTTCCCCGTTCTAAATGATCATTATTGTGTCGATGTGCTTCTCTTCACTTTTACTACAAGCATATAAAGTTTCTGAAAAATGTAGTTTATAAAAATTGATGGTTTTCTGGATAAATCTGGAAATCGGGATTTCTGAAATTGTTCAGATTTTGTCTGAGCTGTGCGTGTAATATTGCACTTTGTATTAAGTTCTGGAATTTTTTTGTAGCCAGTTGATACCTCTGTTGTTTAGAAACAAAGTTTGCTGTGGTACACTATATACATGCATGTTTACAATTCATACTCACTGTTCATTTTTGGGATCACATGTACCGTTTGTCATGCTCTTTCTTTGCTTATTATCATGGGATTGTCTTTAATCTGTTCGTCTTGATTTGTCAGCATGTCGTATCTTGAAAGATTATTTTGGTCTTTTTCATTGCTTCAAAGAATAGGCCTTCATATTTGAAATGTGAGTTTTTATTAAGTTTGAAAATCGACTGATAAATGGCCTTCAGATGAAAAATTTTTATTATCTGAGATTGTACTACGATAAAAAAAAAAAATTTTTTAATAGATAAATGGCTTTTTTGACAGATATATGGCCTTTTAGATAAGAAAATGTCAGCTTTTAGAAGATTCAGAAAAAGACGGGCATATGGTTTCTTACTTGTAAAAATGGTGGATTTTATCATTTTGTGGTATTAACTTAAATGACAAATTTGGTTCTCTTTCTTCTTTTCCTTTAGGTGATGTACTTTTGTTTCAAGTTCCTCAAAGACCTAGCTTCTGACGAGTACTCTGTGCTGCCAAGGTATGTGTCACATTTAACAATGATAATTGCATTTCACCCTCTGCAGCATTCTCTATGCGCTGTACAACCATTACAACATTTGACTCTTTTACAATGCCAAAAAGCTACTTTCAAAATATCCATTTACCCTTGAATTTCAATTTAGTGTACAAAAAGGAGTTAATTGTGCTCCCTTTCTCCTATGCAGAACATAAACACACACACGTAAACTCATACACACACACACGCACTCACACACACACACATACACACTCACAAATGCAGACAATATTACATGGGCTCCTGAGTCTGTCCTGACAAACAGAACACCTCTAATCTTTTGCACTTGTATAATCTTTTTGTGTTGCAAGGGCTGTAAAACTCTTACTAAAACTTAAACTTTAAAAACTAACTCCCCTCACGTTATTCCCAGGACGCATGTCAACGGCAATTCTTCTCCAACCCCTCAAGAAGGTGTGAACGGCCCGCGGCCGCTATCGACCAATCAAACAGCACCGCAGCATACCAGACAGGGTTCAGACACCAGCTTGGGCATACATGGTGTTTTGCTAGGTGAGATTTCCGGAATGTTCCCTGATGGATTGAAGACCTTCTGAATCAACTGAACTTGATAATATGTCAATTCTCTTGTCTTTACTTATACTGGATACTTGATGTCAACCGTCTCCTTTGTATTCAACTCATGTATTGGCTGCAAGCCTCCCAAATGCACTAAACTGTGTTGCCAAAGTGCTGATTTGGCAGATAAATCTAGAAATTCAGATTTCTGAAATTGTCAGCATTTTGCCTGACTTCAAACCAATAGTCACAAAGTTGTTCGGAACTTTTTTCTGGATGGGCTTTAGTACTTTTACACCACCAGAATATGGATGATCAGATATTTATTTATATTTTAATCTCCTTTTAAATAACACTTTAGTGGGTGGTTGGCGGGTGCTTTGGTGTGGTTTGTTTCTTCTTTCCTATCAAACATCTATCGTCTTTATCTCCCCCTCCTTCTTTTTTGTGTTTGTTACTCTCTTGTAACACCTCTAATCTTCGGCACTTGTATAACCTTATTGTGTTGTTAGTGCCGTAAAGCTCTTTCTAAAACTATAAAAAAAACATTGCTCTTTATGCAAAAATAGTCTTGATACAAGAGTATTGGACAACGCAACATGATCTGTAAATTTAGAGTCCCTGTGCATGCTTTTCCACAGAGGTCGGGAAACTTCCGTGGGTGTTTTTTTTTATAGTCAGTTGGCACTTGCATGTTGTAGAGCACTTACAATAAATTGTTAGCCCTATCCGTACGTCGTGTTCTACTATCGTATCCATACGATGCAGGGAACTCTGTGCCACCACTTTCCAAAGGGGAAATTTACTCGATAATCCGATCCGTACACTTAGCATAGCAGTCTGTCAAAATGATATTTTGAGAAATACTGAAAGTTTTAAAGAGATCTCCGTACTAGCAGTATTCTAAAATGTGAAGAATACAACCCCGGGGGTACAAAATTACCCCAGGGCGTACGGATAGGGTTAAAAAGCATTTTTGTCTCTCTGTGTCCAGCGGATGAACTGATGACGTTCCCGGCCAAGGGTAGCACCAGTAGCCTCAACAGCATCAGCAGCATGGAGGCCGGCATCAACTTCACACTGGGAGTGCATGAGGAGGAGGAGGAGGGTGAGGGAGAGACGATTGACGCGGGCGCAGAGGGTGACTTGCCTCCGCTGAACGTTAAGTGAGTCCAGTGTCACTGGTTTCCTCTTTGTCTTGTAATAATAATAATAGTAATAATAATAATAATAGCAATAATATGTAGCATTTGAATAGCATAAATTTCTGCTCAACAATAAACTCTATGTGCTTTATAATCTATATCATTACCCCAGAAGACCAGATAGCATTCTGAAATAATCGAAATTTCCTGTGAAGGATACAGACTTATACACTAAAGTTTTGTTTTAGCACTCAGTGGTCAGTGAACTGTTGTCTGTTGTGTAATGGTTAGGCCTTTTGTGCTTGTCCACACAAGACCTGAGAGCCAAGCCTGAATCTCCGGCTATCTGCCTGGATGTTGTATTTCTCTTGATCCAGGTTTGACCATTCTGATAAATCCTCACAGGTGCAAAGTAGTCCCATTAAGTAGTTGTTTTGTTACTTTTGAATTTGTGCGCACACCGGTGCTATGTCACTGTGACACAACAATCTGAGTTGAGCCTGAAGGAAAAGATGAAACTTGAAGTCTGTCCTACGTTTTTCCAACGTTTTGTTTGATCTAAGAAAATCCTGCTGAAGAACGTACAGCTCAAACCTTCTTTCATCCAACATTTCAGCCTGTCACACAGACGGTCACTGTCCCCGGCCAGCCGTATGTCCCCCACCATGAGGCACAGTTCTCCGGTCAGCGCTGCGGGGCGACGGAGAAGGTCGTCAGACGGTCAGCCACTGTCCGTCCACTCGAACCACTTTGTGGGCAGCCCCCTGGCCCGGCCGTCGAGCCCGATGCAGGTGCCTCAGAGAGATGCCAGCGAGGGTGTTCAGTCCTCGTATCCCAACAGTGTGGGCAGGTGAGTGCTTCATGTCAGGTTTGGTGGTTATGCAGACCTGCTAAGTACTCCGATAAAATCAGAGCTCTCCAATCTTTTTTGCCCCGCAAAAAACCCTGTTTGGATTTGCATATTTGTTTCTGTCAGGTTGTATGCAACTCATTGTATATGATGTAAAAATACTTGTGGTCATCTGATGTTGATTACTGTTTACACATCCGATATCGGATGTTTAGTATTCATTCTTGCCAAGTGCTAGTATTGAATTGTTCATGTTGATTGGATCATTTGATGTGATTTGATTGTTTATTATGGATCTTGTACAATAGATCTGCCTGTGGAGGAAGTGCTGGCCAATAGGCATTATTTTGTTGTTTTTTTTAAAATAAATATTACTAAATGTTAAATCGACATCAGAATGACTTAGATTTGTTCATAAAACATTCTTGGGGCAGTACTTGTGTCACTTATTGTAAATGACTTAGAAGTACAGATTTATTTTCCATGTTTATTTTTTAACTAATCTTGTTCTACTGGGGTTCTAGAGAATCAGACTTTTTTCCCCTAATTTCTATTTCATGAGAGGATTCTGAGGAAACCTATTTTTGGCCATGGAGTGAATAGCAAGTCTGGTTATACCTAAAAGATGGTGGCGTGGATAATTGCCTCTTCAAGTTTTTCTTCTTTGTTAGATGGTATTTTACGAGCCTCAGTTTAATTCCCAGCGTCTTTTTGTATCCCCAGCTGGCAAATCATCCCCAGTGCTGACAACCTAAGAAGTCTGGCGACCAATTCTTCCAATTCCCAGAGCAGCGCCGGCCGCTCGTCACATGTCAGCTCGTGAGTGTTTCCGTCATTGCGTTTGTTTTTTATTTTTGTTTACCATGCACTAACAAATTTCCCAAGGAGCTCAATGTATAAAGTGGAATTTTTTAAGAATTTTAATTTCTTTTAAATAGGCCAGCCTTACAGACACTATGAGCGTAGATCTATGCGAACAGGTCTCAGACTCAAAAAACCTTAGACAAAGTAATTTCAGAGACTTGTGATATGGAAACCTTTTGTAAACATTTCATAGTGACATTTATAAAGAACATTCTATGAGATTCTTCGTCTTGTTTTCCAGCAAAGATTCTTTAACACTTTGCCACCTCATCTCGCCGATCGGCGAGGTTTACCTCCCAATTTCTTTGGATTTTCCCCATAATGTTATGGCAAAGTGTTAAATGATGAAGTCATTTCCCTTTGCTGTTCACTTTTGCTCTCTGATAAGTTTCTATTTACTACGGCCATTCCTAGTTGTCCTAATGAGGCTCTTGACCCCATTGTGTAGTAGTGTTAGTAGCCGGGAAATGTGTCTGTGATAACAGATTGCCTGGGTGTAAACTGATGAAAGGTGTTGTTACGGTGAACCTGAACCTAAGACATGAAATGCAATTCTGAAAGCTTCCCAATTGCCTTTTTGTACAATTGAATCCCTTCTGGGAATCGCTAGCATAGCTGCCAACCATTAAGTAAAAATCGTATTTAATATGTTTTTGAGGATCTAAATACGGAAATTCCAGTTCTTTTGTTTTTTCTAGTATTGCTCCTCACAGGTGGATGATGAAGAAAAATTATGCGAGACCAAATTTGGGAATAAAATTGAGAAGATAACCTATACGTCAATTGGAAAGATCCTTTGCTGCAGTTGTACTTTGAATAGCTTGAATTTATTGAATGCAGAAAAGCAAGTGAGAAGGGTTTGGAGAGGAGTTGTTTGGCTTGTACCTACCATCTTGACCTGCCACATGGGTAAAGGCTGGGGGTTTTTTGGTTTTGAAAAGTTGGCAGCTGTGCAGTAGATCACCTCTCCCTTATGCTTTCATTGTCATTGCCTTTTTCACCTTGGATACAGATACAGCCCACGAACAAACACTCTCCAACTTTACCTATCCTGGGCGAGTCGCTTGATGTCACACTATGTCTTCCCACTTTTCTGTACATTCATTTCTGTGACTCTTCTCCAGGTTCCACATGGTCTTCCCCTTGATCTTTTACCCTGTGGGTTCCAGTCTAACACTTTCCTTGTTAAGCAGCAGCTTGACTTCCAGAAAGTGTGTCCAATCCATGGCCAACGCCTTCTTCCCACCTCATCTCTGACTGAGCTCTGTCTCGTTCTTAATACTTCCTCGTTGGTGATCCTGTCTGTCCATCTGATCCTCAGTAGCTTCCTCAGACACTTGTTCAAGAAAATCTGGATCCTCTTTATGCACATCTAAGATGCGTTCCATGTCTCACATCCATACAACAGGACTGACTTCACATTTGAGTTGAAAATCCTCAGCTTTCCCTAATGCTTTGATGTCTGATTATTCTTCCCCAGCTGCCACGATGCGTTAGAGATCAACATGTCTTCCACTCGCTGGCAGCGTCTGGACGCCGTCAGCAGAATATTCCACACGGCGTACGCGTCATCGGTGCAGTCGAAGAACGTGCGACAATCGTCGGGCTCTGGGCTCACTTCCTTTTTTGACCGGTTTGCTGAACAAGTGGGTTTGAAAGGTGCCAAATCCCATGGAGCAAGTGGGGTGTCCAGGAGTGGAGTTTAGAAACCTGTTTTGATTTGCAGTGTTTCCTTCTTTTTTTTTGGGGGGGTCATATTTTGAGTTGTGTCAAGCTGGGAGTTGGTCTTCTGACACCAAATTGACTGACATTTCATTGAATAACACCAAATTGACCGACAGGTTTAACTGACACTATATTCCTGACAGCAAATTGGATAATACCATATTGACTGATTGGAAATGTGTCTCGACGTGGTGGGATCTGGCGCTCGTCTATTTTTGGGCATATGGAGTTATTAGTATGATCTTAAAGCATGTTCGTTTGCCTATTTTTTAATTTTAAAAATACCCATCTATCGTGAATAGAAATCGAGATATTTGTGATGAAGGAGGTGGGGGTCACTTGGTGTTTTAGGTAATATTAGCAAGAAAGTTGCCAGCAAAGTAGTTTGATGTCTTTCAAAGCTATAGTGTTCTTGGAAACTGCCAATTTATATTTTTGTCCTTTTGATCAACGTTTTTCAGTAAAATCAAGACAGTATTTTTTTTTTATTTGACATAAAATGTGTCCAGCCCATAACAAACAAAAAAATGATAAAAATTGCCCAAAAGGGGGTAAAATGTCATTTTCTTCTATTTCAGTATATACCGACTGACACCAACTTGACATTCACTATACCGACTGAACCGACTGATACCAACTTGACATTCACTATACCGACTGAACCGACTGACACCAACTTGACATTCACTATACCGACTGAACCGACTGGCACTAACTTGACATTCACTATACCGACTGACACCAAATGGACTGACTGCCTGGACGTAGTAACAAAGACCCGTTTGTTCAGAACTTACATTGTTGGTGGTGCTATAGTCTTTGAGTATTTCACTCTGTTCGTTGATCAATTGATGCCGTCTCCTAAATGATGTCAAGAGGGGTGTAAAACATATATATATATATATTATACAGTCTTTCCATTCAATAGATGACGTGTAATGTGTGAAGAAACAGTTTCTGGCAAGCTACTGTGAAAGTGGCCTGTTTGAATTCTGGTTATTTGTGTAAGTGCGTGACTGCGGTCTTGCTGGTGTGAAAAAAACAGAGATCATATCTTTCTTTGCTGCCCTTTTTCCCCCTTTCTTTTTCCTAGCTTTTTTTCTCTTCATTCCATTTTTACTTCTTTTTTCTTTAAATCTTTTCATCCCTTCCCTTGTGTGAAATGTTCCTTTTTTTTGGGGGGGGGGGGATATTTATTTGCTGTTCTGACCGGTTCAAAATGATGAACCTTTTCATTTTGGTCTGTCAGTATCTGTGTACATTGTTGTATGTATTCAAATATATCGCAGAAATATTCCATATTTTTATTTCATTTCTTAAATTCTATAGTATTATTGCCATACAAACTTGCCTATATTTTGTTGTCACTTTCATGAGGTGTCAAGTCACCATTCATCTCCTGTCACTGATACTGATATGTTGAACATGGATTCTACAGATAAATTTTGGTAAATTAGGTTAGCACAAAAGTGTCATTTTCTTTAGGTGTACTCTTTCAAGTCCTCTAAAAGGAGAATGCTGAGAGTCTGTTTACTAAGCTCCAAAGGACTCGGTTTTGCTGGGTTTGCCATGTTGTAAGAGTGCGCCTGATTTCAAAATCTTAACGGCAAAGTTCTATTTTAAACTGCCCTTGGGGAAGCATAAAGTTGGCGCACCAAAAACACACTTCGCTACAAATACATCGTGAAAATTTCTCTGACAGACTTCAGCCCTAATCCTTTGACATGGGAGAGCCAAGCTTCTTATAAAGTAAGTTAGAGGGCAGCAATTACAAAGTGCAATCAATCATATGAGGCTTCACAAATAGGAAATGCCTAGGCCAAGAGAGAAGCAAGCTGCACACATCGGCAAATGAAAAGGAAACTTTGAAATATTTAAAATGTGGCAGACTCCTCTCTGCCAGAACTAGTCTCATGGGCCATAGCAGAAGCTGCAAGTCATCATGATCCTTATTTCTTCTGTTTTGCTTAACACTTTGCCATCACATCTCGCCGATCGACAAGAACGCTGAACTTCCGCTCCCGTCGCAAAACGCAGATCAGCGATGTTTACCCCCCAGTTTCTTTGGATTTCACCCACAATGCTTGTGATGGCAAGGGTTTTTACTATATGAGCCTTGTGATGGCAAAGTATTCTTCTCTGCTGATGCTTTTAGTCTTCGTCAAACATTGACAGATGGACTATTATTATTCACAAAATGTTACTCTTTGAAGTGTTCACAGTGGTTTTGTGCAATGAGGCAAAATCTAGTTGGTGACGATTTTTTTAGTTGTAACCCGACACTAGGATTGATTTGCTTTGATGGACCCACAGGGCTATTGTTCTTTTTGATATTTGCTGGAGCAGAGAGATAATGATTCATATTCCAAAATGATTTGTCTAAAGCTTTCAACAGTGACTTGAAAAGTTAACTCAGTTAAATTGCAACTATTTTGTGATTCTTTATTTGTTGGAACCTAATGACAACAGTTCTCCAAGGCAAGGTTGAGGGCAGATGGAAATGAGGTATGCTTCCTACTTCTTTCATCACCAATATCACCGAGGTCAGAGGTCGGAGGCTTTGGAGGGATACAGGAGGTCATAGCACACAGAAGAGATAGTGAACTGTGGTTGAGTTTACAGGAGGTCATAGCACACAGTAGAGATAGTGAACTGTGGTTGAGTTTTGTGGAGCTCTGTCATCAACAGAGGCGATGGGCACAGTCGTGGCATCAGTGGTCTGGTAGTGGTTAGGCTCTCAGACTCTCGACTGCAAGGTCATGCGTTCAATTCCTGTCTTGGGCCGAATGGATTATGTCCTTGGAAAAGGAACTTTACACAAATTTTCCTCACTTCACTAGGTGAAAATGGGTACCCCCATATAGACGGCAAAAGATCTTATCAGTTTGTTAATCATTGAGCTCTTAATCGGCTGCCTGCACTGTATATTTGCCAAGAAATCGAGAATGTTTCTGTGTGTTCTAGGGTCTGGTGGGGAAATGATAACAGTAAAACGCATAGAGCATATTGCATAAAGTGGATATACACTATATAAATGCATTTATTTTATATCACTTTTTGATGACAGGTGAGATATTAGTTGTGCCTGCTTTCGATGCACCCTGACTGCTACCCCGACCGATGTTTTTTTCCTCCTCTCTGACATAGCTTCTCAAGCTTCTATTCTGCTCTTGGTTTTGCTGTTGACACAGCTAGTGAAAATTTCTCTCCTCATTTTAGCGACTTTTTTCCATGTGTTTGTTAAGATGCTGCTGACTTGATGCTAACAGTTTGCCTCTTTGTGAGAATCGCGGGCTGTATGTTTTGAGTCAACTAAATATATTCCCATTTTTTTTCTTATGATTCAAACATTTCTGTTTTGTATGTTGTTGGTTTTTTTTACCAGTATTGGATGGCACCAATGACTTGAAGTGTCAGGTTGCATTTTTTTCTTTTTGCTACCATGATATTGTTGTTTTTGTTTTCTTTCAAAGGGAAAAAAAAGATGAGTTCAGCAGTAAAACGTACTGTAATAGGTGTTTGAGAAATTCAGATAATTCATTGTTTTTGAATTTGTCCCCTAGAGTCTCCTTTTTTCAGTCTTGCTTTCAGTATGTTTGTGGCGTGTGCTAACTAGGAAGTTTGTTTTTTAAATTTTATCAATTTTGAACTTACCAATGTTTAAAAAATCAGTTTGTATATATATATATCGATGTAGTGGGTTATGTAAATAAGAAATAAATATTGTTACGTAGTATATATGAAAAATATTTAAGAGAATTTTGTGAAAAGATTTTTAATTTTAGATTTAAACCCTGCAATTAATAAACTCTGTGAGACACATGTGTGAATGGTAATAGTAGACATATATGTGTCAAGACGTGGTGGAATCAGGCTCTCGTCAATTTTTGGGCAAGTGGAGTTATCAGAATCATCTGAAAGCTTATTCATTTGTCTTGCTTTCTATGAAAAAAAAATCCATCTAGCTTGAATAGACGTCAAGATATATGCGATTGAAGAGGATGAGGTAGCCTGTTTTCAGTTGTTAAATTAATGAAAAAATGGCCGCCAAAGTTTGGTAACTTCAATAGCCTATGAGTCTTTGAAAACTGAAAATTACATACTGTGAGGCTTTAACCAAGGTTTTTCAGTAAAATTCACATGGAAATGTATTTTCATATCAACATAAAAGGTGTTTAGCCAAAAAACAAAATTTTGATAAAAATTGCAAAACTGATGGAAAAATGCCCTTTTCTTCCATTTCATTATTTTGACGAGCGCCTGATTTCACCACGATGCGTCACATATATATATATATATATAAGTTTGAGAATCTGGTGAGCCTGAAACAGAGACAGTTAGAAGGTGGCCAATTGTGCGGGGACAATTTACAGGACGCAAGTGTCACCAACAGTGAAATATTATATTATAATAATATTATTCAAGAGCACCAGTGAAGAATACTTGATACGAAGGGTATCTTCGTTCCCTTTATATCGGTAAAGAATCACAAACTCACATTTTGTCCTTGCTCTTTCACGTATTAACTTGTTTGAAAATAGAGAAAAATTATACTTTTCTGAAGTTTGACTGGGTTTGGTTGTTTTTTTGTGTGTGTGTCTGTGGCAGCCACCAAAAACCAGGTGCAAGACCTCTCAAAGGAGAGAAAATTGTGCTTATGACCTAGACGTACCCCACTGTGACCTATCGGTTTGCGTACCAAATCACCATTCCTTTTTTGTATTGTTGTCACCATAGATGTAAACAGTTTTGTTGACAGATATGTCTAAAGCATTTTATCACTCGGTGATAAAACGTGGCCTCATTCAATTCAATGCATGTTGGTACACGTGTGTCCATACGACTCTTACTTGTTTGCCTACAATTTTGTCTGGTGTGTGTTTAAATGTAGGTGTACGTGCTTTTTACCGTCTTTTTCAACAGTCTGATTTTATACAACTTTGCTTAGGATGTAAACTTTTCAAAATATATAATTTTCATTTTTTTCAAAGCCGAAGGTGACAGTTATTATTTTTTTAATATGTATTTACGTTTCCTGGTGAATTTATATGATTTGTCAAAGACATTTTGCTCAATGTTGATTGTGTCTCTAAAGTAATTTTTAGGCTCTTTTACTTTTAAATGTTATAAAGCCTAACAAAAAAAAGAAGATTCCGGGTCTTTATGTCACGATTGAGAAAAAGCTATCCTGATTTCAACCAAGATCTTGAAGAATATGGAAAAAGGTTCCTTTCTAATTTGGAACTCTACAATGAACCAAAAGATGTAGCTAGGAACCAACCATTCATTTAATTATTTTTGCGAGCGGAAAGTGGAATTGGTTCGCTCATCCTGTTCATTGAATCAGTCGTGGCCATTTCTTTTTTAATCTGTGATAATAATGTAAGATAGTGAGTGTACCCCATAGTTTTATATAATACGAAATATATATGTATGTGTATATAAATTATATATTTATATACACATATATATGATATTTACCATGATGTACAGAAATTCCTTTTTGTGTACTTCTGAGTTTTTACATTTGAAACTTCAGACACTGCTGTGTTTTCATCTTTTGAGGGGTTGTGTGTGTGTGTTGGGGGGTGGGGGGTGTCCCGCTCAGTTTTTTTAGGGAGGGGGGAGTGGGGAGGGTATTGCTTTTAACTTTGTACAGAAGATGTTTTGCATCTTTAGGTTTTTTAGCTTTAAAATACTATTTATAATTTTATAATTTAACCCAATGAAGACTACAGTTTCCACACAGTGCAGTACTCCGATCAGGAGTCGCCTCGATAAATCAGAGGTATCAACAGTTTCATTGCATCGCAACTTCAACTGTTTCTCCTTGATTGAAACTTTTTTTATGTGGCCAAATGAAAAATAAACTCGTAAAACAATAGCCTCCTGGGCTTCACCACTTTCTCCTAATTTTTATGCATGCAGAATTATCAGACATTTTTTTGTATGCTCTTATGACCTTATACAGTAAATCCTGTTCACCATGGAGCACTCCGTTCGATTTTATTTGGAGCCAAATGAAGAGCAAGATGGGGAAGGTTACGCACGCACTTGACCACTATAGCAGGACTGGTGTTTTGCCCTTTCATTTGATCGTCCATGATGCGCACCGGCACAGCAAAGTTTCTATAGAAACTAAAGAGAGACAGCCGTGGCAGTGCCGGATCTAGGATGGATATTATTATTCTTAAGTTTATAGTTAAAGGTTACCTTCATTGTGTTGGGTTGAAAAAGTCTAGTAAATATTGTCCATATGTATCACGGCCTGGTGGGATCAGGCGCTCGTCAATTTTTGGGCTCGTGGAGTTATTGGTATTGTCTTAAAGCTTGTTCATTTGTCTTGCTTTTGATGAAAGAAATGCCCATTTATCTTTAATACAAGTCGAGATATTTGTGTTTGAAGGAGGTGGAGTTGACTGGTTTCAGAGGCAAAATTAGCAAGAAAATGGCCGCCAAAGTTTGGTTATTTACATTACCTGAGAGTCCATGGAAACTGACAATTTACACTTTTTGTGCCTTTAGTCAACGTTTAGCAGTAAAATCCACACAGAAATGGGTTCTTAAATGGACATAAAAGTTGTTGAACCAAAAAGCAAAATTTAGATTAAAATGGCCAAGCCGTCGGAAAAATGCCAGTTTCTTTACTTTCATTTTTTTTAATAGCGCCTGATTTCACCATGCCGCACCACATTTATACTTTTATATTTTTAAACAATATTTCATTCTTCTCTCCCTTGTCGTGATTATGGAATGTGTTTTGGTGCTCCTTTGGTTTTTTTACATGTATCTCTCGTTCTTCCTTCTCACATATGATCTAAATCAGGGTCACCAAACTTTTTAAAAGTGAGCTGGATAACTGAGAGAATGCTGAGTGCGGCACAGATAACTGTTTTGTCCATGTAATGCTCGAAATACATTTAAAAAGATGACCTTCCTATTAATTTTTTTGTTCGTAAAAATATAAAGACAACAAACATATTTTTCTAATTTTAAAGTTGCTGTAATAATGCAATATCTTTCCCCTATAGTGGCACGTGGCAGGTCAGATGAGCTGAACTCGCGGGCCACATCCAGCCTGTGGGCAGTAGTTTTACGACTCTTTCTGATCTAAATTGTGTCCATGGGAATGGAAAGTATTTACAATCTACCTGTCACTTCTCTTTTTTGCTAATCTTCAGAACTGGATGAGTCTTGTATTATAACTGCCTGCATCTGTGGTGTAATAGTTAAGCCCTTCATTGTTACATGTTTAAGATATGGGTTCGGCCACATGTGAGGAAGACTACTTGAGTGGATGGTTGGCGGGTGCTCTGGTGTGGTTTGCTTCTTCTTTCCTATCAAACATCTATCGTCTTTATCTACCCTCCTTCTTTTTTGTGTTTGTTACTCTCTTGTAACTCCTCTAATCTTCAGCACTCATATGACCTTATTGTGTTGCAAGTGCCGTAAAATTCTTACTAAAACTAAAAAAAGACTACTTGATCAAATGTCTCTGCCTTTCTAAACTCTACCAGCCTGTCTTGTAAATGATCTAAATTGCATCAATGCGTGTATGAAACATTTACAAACTCCCTTATTTCTATATTTAGCAAAATATAATAGTGACCATAATAACAACCGTAACCGTCACATTGATATTAGTGGCAATAAAAATACAACCAGAGATCAGAAAATGGATATTATATATATATAGAGGAAGAGACAGGCCCCCGGAAAAGATGGACAGAGGGGTCAGAGACAGATTAGACAAAACCAATATAACCAACATGCAGCAAGTGATACAACTAACTGAAGAAACATGTTTGCTTCTCCTCTCGACACTGTAAAGTTACAGAGGCTTGAAAAAGGGAAAGAAAAGGAAGGTAATAAATGGTGGTGTGAAAGAGTACCTGCTGAAATGAATATTGTGCTCGGGCAGTGATCTTCAGTCAGTACAAAATTCACATTTGTAAGTAGGTGTATGAGCCCCTATCTGTCTGTAGTTAACAGAATGCCCCAAACTCATGTGGGAAAAACTGCTGATCACAAAAATAATGTCATGTTCAGCTTTACCTTCGGTCCATTTTGTCTGCTGAACCTTGAGCTCGATATGGATTTCAATTTCTGTACCAGCCAAAAGAAATTTTTTTTGTTTGTTTTTTTTGGTCTCAAAATACATGCTGTAGCAATTGTTGTTGGAGAAGTTAATATAATGTGTTTAAATAACTGGCGTCTACGTTGAAGCGGTGTAGCTTTTCGCCATTGCACATAAAAGACATGTATTCGATTCTCGTGTTGGAAGATTATTTAAAAACTCAAGTATCAATGTCTGCTGGGATGTTGTATGTCTCTTCTCAGCCCAGGTTGCCCTGACAGGCAGGATTGTAGCAGCCCGTCTCCTGAATTATCTAATTATGAGGCAGCGTGGTCAAAATACAGAAATCGGAGAAACAGGCGTTTGTCCGCCAGTTTGGAAATTTTTTTTTTAATTTTGTTTTTGGCTCAACACCTTGTATGTCCATTCAGAAACACTTTTATGTGTGGATTTTATAAGAAAATGTTGTTTAAAGGTACGAAAGATATAAATTTGCAGTTTCCAAGGACTCTTGAGCTATGGAAGTCACTGAACTTTTACGGCCATTTTCTTGCTAATTTTCTTCTGAAACCAGGCAACCCCATCTCCTTCAATCGCAAATATCTCAACTTCTATTCAAGATAAAATGATATTTTTTTCTTCAAAAGCAAAGCAAATGAACAACCTTTAAGATGATACGAATAACTCCGTATGACCCAAAATTGACAAGCCTGGTTCCACCACGTCGTGACTCAAATCGTATTTAAAGGAGTGTAAGACATTTACAATTGCAATTGGATTTGATGATGTGTCTGGTCTGGCAAACTTTTTTCTGAAGAAGATGCTTCAGGTAACATAGAATCGATGCAATGGGTCTCTTGTCCAATAAAAATAAATGAGATAAGAGGATACATTATGGTTCACAGTGGCTGGTGGTTTCATAAATTCAATGGGCAAAAAGCCTCTGAGATTCTTGTGTTTGTATTCAGATCTCATTCTAACTAGGTTGTCGGCGGGTGCTCTTGTGTGGTTTGCTCCTTCTTCGCTAAAATAAAATAATAATAATAATAATAGATAGCAGTTGTATAGCGCAAATCCCCACTCAACAGTAAGCTCTATGCTTTTCACAATCTATACTATTACCCCAGCAGACCTGAGAGCACTCTGAAACAACCTCAACTTCCTGGGAAGCATACGGCACTATCAAATACATATATGTGAAGCGTGCTAACAAAATGAGTTACTTCTCAGATTCAAACGCATTGGAAATAGATACATCACGCTTATGGGTGAAGTTTTTGCAATTTATAAGCATGAATGAAGTAAAGGCATGTTATATTTAAAGAATATGGCATCAATATAAAATCTACAAATTTGACCCAAGTGTCGATTTTTGGCCGATATCTCCATTTGTAGATTACGAAAAGTAACTCATTTTGTCAGCACGCCTCACTTATCGTCTTTCTCTCTCCTCCATCTCTTCTTTGTATGTTTCTCTCAAGTCATACCTCTAATCTTCGGCACTTCATGGCCTATTTATGTGTTGTAAACGCCGTAAAACTCTATCTACAACTAAACTTAGATCTCATTGGAATGTTGTCCTTCATGTGAGATGGGTTATTTCTTGCTCCTAAGGAGGGGGGGGGGAGATGATAGAGAGGCAAAGTGTCTTTTATTACAAAAAATCTTCAGATTCCTGATTCCACATGAGAAGCCTGATCGCCGATTATGATTCATGTATTTGATTGTCTTCTTTGATAGTATTTGTCTGTCTGTGCCTGAATTTGAACCAAAGTGGTTTATCGATGCATAACATTGTGGTTTCCAAGCTGACCTCTTAATTAAATTTTTATTGTACCTTAGAAAGTGTGCGGAGGTCTTTGTGGGATATGAATGGTTGGTTGGTTGGTTTCCCTTGCTGATTAAGACAGAACTGTGCGTGTATATTATATATGTATATCCTCTGTTGTGGGCCATGTGATTATTTTGAATAAAGATGCAATGATGGATGAACCACAGCATTCTCTTCACTTCTTCATGTCCTTGTGCTGGGATTTTTTTTTTTCATTTTTATCCGGGGGGGGGGGGGGGGGTTCTTGTGTTTTTGTTTGTTTTGTTTTAGCATTAAACGTTTTGTTTTGTTTTTTTAGGGGGGGGGGGCATCTGCTCTTAATGGGAAAAGGGGTGGGAATATAAGGGAGGGGGTAAGGGGCATTTAACTCTAATTGTGAAGGACTCACAATCAAAGTTTTGTGTTTCTTGAGGATACAAAATATCCTCAGGAAATGTAATCTTACTCAGACAGTGAATGACTCAAAACCAGAACTGAGGGGAGACAAAGTATCCCAACGGACACAGACACTCGACAAAATAAATTTCCCCACACAGGAAAAGCCTAATCATTATACGTCACAGACACTCATCTCTAGCTTCCTGTTTTGGGTTGAAGATGAACGAGGACACTTTTGTTCAACAAAACGAAAAAGCAGCCACAACAAGATGGAAGTTAACAGCAAATGTGTGTGTGTGTGTAGGAGGGGGGGGGGGATTTTTGCCAAATTGTATACGTGTAATACCCATTACAGCACTGCAGAGTTATTTAACAGGCGGGGCCGCTGAATTTAATGTCTGCCTCCAATAGGATTACAACAGAGCCCCAGGGCAGTGCTACTGACTGAAATGTCTTTAGGCCATTCCCAAAGGGGGGATAAGTGGGTGGTTGGCGAGTGCTATCAAACATTTATCGTCCTGATCTCTCCTCCTTTTTTTATGTTTGTTACTCTATTGCAACACCTCTAATCTTTGGCACTTATATGACCTTATTGTGTTGCAAGTGCCATAAAACTCTTACTAAAACTAAACTAAAACTTAAAAGGGGGGATATTAACATGTTCTTATGCACAGTAGAATTATAAATCCGCTGATTTATCAATGCCATGCTCATACTGTGCTGGAACAACATAGGGGGAACTGCTGCTTTTTCTTTCTTCATCCTTACTATTGTCATTTTTCCTCTACTTCTTTTGTATGTTTGTAACTCTCTTGTGAACTACTATTTCCAGGGTGCCTTGATAGTCGAAGCAAACTTTTTGCTGTTAAGGCTAGCGAGGTGAGCAGAGTAAGCCTGATTCCTCGATTTTACTTCCCTGTTGACATCCACCACTTGGCGCTCATAAGCACTTTTATGCAGTTGCGCGTGCCATAAAACCTTACTAAAACTAAACTACGACCGAGCCAGATGGGAAAGCTGGTGTTAAGTGCCTTCTCAAAGGACATAACATAAGACCGAGCTGAGCCTGAAACCCCCGAACCCGCAATCACACAATTACAAGTCCATATTGCCTAATCACTAGATTACTGACAGATGACGGGAAACGCCTCGGAGATATTGCAGCTACAATACAGATACAATTTTACAATAAAGCTGACACAATACCGTGGAAAAGGTAACAAAAGTTTATTCGTGGACATAGTTGAATTATCGTCACTCAGTGTCATGCACAGACAAAAACATTTGTACATAAAAGGTCACATGCACTTAATAGCGACACTAAGCCTTAAATTAAAACATTAGATACAGATATACCTGCCACATTTGAATAACCATGAGCATCTCTAACAAGCATACGGAGCATATAAAACTTCCAAAGCTAATGTCTTATGCTATCGAGCTTGTTCTCAATTTTTACAGACAATAGGGCAATATATAATAATAATAATGGATAGATTAATGAATGAAGACTGTGGATGGGTCCATGGAATAGGACAGATGAAAGGTTAATGGAACAGTTGATTGGTATATGTGGATGAAGACTGGATGATTTAACGAATGAAGCTAGTGGATGAGTTAATATAGATTGTAAAGCACATAGAGCTTGCTGTTGAGCAGGAATTTGCACTATACAAATGCTATTTATTATTTAATGGATAAAGAAAGGCAAGGAACATAAAATGCAAATGTTCATATCCTGGCATAATATTGATAATAACTTGTAACAATCAAGTGATCAACAACAGGGTGGGTGACCAATGTTAAAAACCATTCACACATCACTGATGATCTCTCATGCACAATGAAAAATGGATATCACAGTTTCTTGACACTCTGACACAAAAAAAACTACAAAAAATGGAAATTTTTAACATTATGAATGTGACAGAAACTTTTCAAACTCAATTCATCCCAGTGTTAAAAATGTATTCTACTTCCCTGCCAGGCATACATGAAAGAATGAAAACTCGTTTCTCTTTCATGCTCGTGTTCATGTGAAATGAAAGTAAACAAAGACAGCAGAAATTTATACACCTATGTTGGTCGTGAAACTAAATAACATTGTAAGATAGAGGTTAGAATTTCACTGAAAAAGGGGGGAAAAGGCAAAGCAATAAGGCACAAGGCACATTTTGTAACATTTCGAAAGACCAAAAATTACCAAAATGCTCTTTCTGTAACCCATTACTGCATTATGGTTACCATTACAGCTTTATAATGAAGAAATATAATTATTAGAAATTCTCTCCCTGTCTAATATCAACATTTCTCACAATAACCAAAGAAGCCATTGTTGGAGATCTACACGAGCCTATCGATATTTTTCTAGGTCTAAGTGAGTAAACTGAACCTCTCCTAGGCCCATTTCGAATATTAATATTGTACAATTGGATAATGAAATAGATCTTTTGAGCAACTCACTTGTCCTTACACACTGGTGCTTGGTATGGTACGGTATGGCAGGTGTTTTACGGCACTATAAACACAGTAATTGTCCTGTAAGTGCCACATAGGTGGTTGTTTAACCCTATCCGTATGCCATGGGGTCATTTTGCACCCCCGGGGCTGTGTTCTTCACATTTTAAAATACTTTTAGCACGAAGATCTCTTTGAAACTTTCAGTATTTCTCAAAAAATTATTTTGACAGACCTCTATGCAAAGCGTAAGGATTGGATTAACAAGTAAATTTCCTCTTTGGAAAGTGGTTCCCCATGTCGTATGGATACGATAGTAAAACACGACGTACGGATAGGGTTAAGCCGCATTACTCCTACGGCTGACCAAGACAATGTACAGGCGCCCACCTAAAGCAGGGGTAAACACAACCATTTTTGCCTTTTTGTCTGTTAGTGTTATGGGGCCTGGGAGGACGGTGGGTGGGGGGGGGGGTCGGGGGGCTGGTTGAAGGTCCCAACTAAGCTCAAAGCCTGGTGGGATTGGGGGAGGGGGGGTGGGTGGGGGGAACTGCCATCATGGTGATTAGTACAGCTTTAAGGCAAAAATTTGTTCACTCAGGGACGATACAAGATACATTAACATACACACAAAAATGCAGTTTACAAAAGTCTACACTTCCTCTTGCGGATCTTCTTTTTGGTTTTCAGCGCATTCCTGGTAGCGACTTCGAACACTTCCCTGATTCCTTCCTTTGTTCTCGCGGAGCACTCGACATAAGCTGCAGCTCCAATTCTGAAATACAAAAATGTTCCATGATAAATTCACCATAATAATGTTATTCATTATATTAATATGATCAAAACATTGCAATCAAGGAATAAATACAATATCTTTTAAAAATACAATATTCAAATTATAATAAATTTATCGTCATACTTTATTTTTAAAATTTTGAATACCAGGAGACTTCAGGGGAATCTGTCATTTTGAGACCAAACTAAAGTTTGGGGCTTTTTTAAGGGGATAAAAGCACATAGCTCCAAACACACTAGCAGTTCATGGGAAAACTCAATTGGAAAAAAAATAGAAGCTAATCTTAGGCACACACACACACACACACACACGCACACACACACTCACACACACACACACACACACACACACAAACACTCACCCACACATAGACAAGTCCTTACATAAATACATATTAATATCAAATATATAATTTCTTTAACCTGCTTAAGCAACAGAGAAATCACATTTCAGACCAACACCTGCTGACTGTGGTACTAGTCTAGGCACAGCACATGCCTTTGACATAGTTTTATATATACATATATAGAGAGAGAAATGTGAAATTATGCGATTCTGTTAATTTTAACAAAGAATGATAAAGGAAATAATCAGAAATAATCTGAAATTATACAAAAAATTATCAAATTTTGCTAAATTATGTAGGGTGCTTCCCACATAATTTAGCAAAATTTGATAATTTTTTTAAAAATTTCAGATTATTTCTGATTATTTCCTTTATCATTCTTTGTTAAAATTAACAGAATCGCATAATTTCACATTTTTGGGCTCAGTTTGCATAATTTCAGAATTTTTCTTGCATAAAACGACAGGGACAGATACATATATATATAAAGTCAATGAAAAGAACAAAGCAGCCAACTTACCTCTCCGAAACCGACCTCCCCTCTTCAGTTTTGACAGGACTTTGTTTGAGCTTTGCGAGTTCTTCAATAGTGGTTTGATCATTCCGCAGATCTTTCTTGTTCCCCACTAGAATGATTGGTACACTTGGGCAAAAGTGTTTTACCTGCAAGTCATGACAATGTGAAGAAATTGTGAACTCCAGGACACATCGAGAACAAACAAAGATAATCTTTTCATAGAAAGAGTTCTATATATATACACATGTCAAGTTATTTTAGAATGTTATATCTCCTGTGATGCTATTATGTGCATTAGGCATTTTTCAGAAAACGGAAATAGGCTACACAGTATAAATGCTATTATCGTTATTATCATTATTATTATTATTATTATTATTATTATTATTATTATTATTATTATTAATATTATTGTTATTATTATTACATGTATTATCATTATTATTATTATTGTCATTGTCATCGTCATCATCACCATCATTGCAATGCCTAGAACTGAAAGTTATATTGGCTTTCTCCACAATGAAAAGATATAACATTGTCATACTGACAACAGGAAAAAGAAAGTCTACCTGCTTTGAGTATGTGAGAAAACAAAGAAAACAGAGTAACGTAAGCCTTATCTCTCCTTTCTCCTCCCTCTCCCATATATCTTGATAACTTTGTCGTCTGCAATGCACACATCATTTATTGGACAGTGCTCCATTTAGAGTCAATTTATCACACCATTACCCAAACTTCCTCTATCCCTATCTCTGTACTGCTGGTTAAAATATCCATTCCCCTTTAGAACTTTTGGACAAACTGTTTCTACCCCATGGTCTGTTCTGCAGTAAGCTGACAAAACGCATTTTTTTCTTTGCAGCAGTTTTGAGAAAAAGAAGGGTTTTTTTTGTCTGAGTAACCATTTAAAAATAAAGTGATTTCGAAATTTGAATTCTGATTTATTAAAAAACTAGTCAGTTTCACTTTGATTTTTTTCACACAAGTAGGGTAACTGATAAGGCTTTCGATTTAGCAGATAAAAAATTTTGTCTCCAAAATGAAAAAGGGCGTTATGTCAGCTTACGGCAGTGTTGTTCAAACTTCCTCCTTTTCTGTCTCCTGGGCCGCTAGTTAAAGCAACCATTCACCTCTGGAACTGTTGATCAAATTATCTCTATCGATCCTGCTGACAAACATTTTCTGTGCAGTTTATCATTCAGCTGGTCAAACTATCTTCATCCCAGCAAAAATCATTAACTCACACAGTTCATCATTCATCTGGTCAAACTACTTTCATCCCAGCAAAAAACCATCGACTCACCTCCGGTGTCCACTTCTCCGTTATATTCTCCAAGCTGTCCGGGTTGTCAATACTGAAGCACATGAGTATGACGTCTGTGTCTGGATAAGAAAGGGGCCTCAACCTATCATAATCCTCCTGACCGGCGGTATCCCACAGGGCTAGCTCAACCTGAAGGAGGAGGAGAGAAAAAAAACAGTTATTTTTGTGGTCATCATTATCATCCAGTGCCAGATCTGCGACAGACATCGGCGATCATGGTTCTCCATTTATTCCTTTGCTCGGATGCTCTCAGAAAAGCTACGTTTCCCTGATCTTTCCCTGTTTCCCATTTGTTTAGGTTCCCTAAGTATGTTGTTCAGGGCCTACCCCTGCCTCGCTTGCCCTCAATTTTGCCAGTGAGAGCTAGATGTTCAAGACCCTTATGTCTATTCATGTGTCCCAAAAACTGCATTTGTCGTCACCTAATTTTTTTGGTAGTAGACAATAAATCATGACCCAAGTGTAACAAGATTTTTTTTTATCCCAGTTGCACTCACATTTGATATATATATATATATACACGTACATGAATTTTTAATTTTTTTACACGATGCATCTCACTCAAATGAAGAGCAGAACTGATATAGATTTCTCTACGTGTACATGAGTTTTAATTTTTTACACGATGCATCTCCCTCAAGTAAAGAACAGAATTACCGTTACATTGTCTAACGTTTTGTCTAAGAAAATAAAGGAATAGCAGTTCCAACTTTTGCATGCAATGAAGGAGAAAAGGGGGAGGCCCCACACACCATCTGCTCAATACACTAAAAATTTCGAGTTAGAACCTTATTCTATGGTCGCTTTAATGTCAGACGGTGGGAAGTTGGCAAGTGTTCTGGTACAGTTAGCTCTTTCATTCTTATCAAACATCCACTTATTCTTTTTTGGGGGGAAAGGGGGGGGGGTGTGTGTTACTCTCAAATAACACTTCTAATCTTCCACCTCTAAATTAATATAACCCATTTCTTTAACTTTAAAATCAACAATGATTTTATTAACTTGAATTAGAACCCCCACCCAAACCAACCTGTTTGCTGTCCACAACAATATCCGCCACATAGTTCTCAAACACTGTGGGCACGTAGACCTCCGGGAACTGGTCTTTGCTGAACACGATGAGGAGACATGTCTTTCCACACGCGCCGTCCCCAACGATGACCAGTTTCTTTCTCAGACCTGCCATCTCGCGGAAACTATTGGACTGACCGACCGCTGATCTGTTACACTGTTAGTTTGGACTGCAGTCTGTGAATAAGAGATGAAGAGGATTGGAATTATAGCCTACATTTAGTTATGAAGAGGTGTCAACATGTAGGCCTACTTATAATTATGCTTTCTTAGAAAATACAGAGAAGGGGCGAGGGGGTGCAAGAGAGAAAGAGAGAGAGAGAGAGAGAGAGAGAGAGAGAGAGAG